CTTCGCAGGTCAGTCACTGCTCTCCCTATGCATTGCTTATGGCAGGCCCCAATTACATCAGAGATGACAAAATACTGACTCTCCAAACTGTGACCGTTATAAATGAACAAACTGGATTACACATTTTAGTTTGTACAGTCACTTTAATTATTTACAGTGTATTTGTGGAGGTGGGGGAAAGAGGAGAGCCTTTATTTTATTTATTATCATTTAAAGCATTATATTTCCTACACATAAAATATGTATGTATATGAGTCCACTAGAAAGCTTTATTTGTGCAGTGCTGAAAAGGCATCTTTATTTCTTTGTGATAAATTCCAGTTAAATGTAAAAAAACAAAAAAAAAACTGTGTAGTCAAGATTATTTTTAACTATGAATAAATTTGATTGAATGCAGTTACTCTATGCATAAAAATCAAACTTCTTTATGTGACGGATGCGATAAAGAAGCATATTACAAATGGGGAATGTTTATCAAGAGCTGTTTTTGTTTTTGTGGGGTTATGGTTGCTATCTTGCAGCCACAACCATTCAGGAAAAAAAAGTTTAACCCAGGTTAATGTGAATCTTTTCCTGTTGATCACTACTTTAATTGATTACATGGTTGTTCAAATGGTCTCTTGAGTTGCATATGTTTAATGATGATGTGTCTCTGGTTTATCAGGTGACCCCTGCACCGTGTCGTCTCAGCTGGAATTGGAAGAAGCTCTTCGCCTCTATGAACTCAACAAAGACTCTGAGCTCACAATCCACAGTGAGTTTATCATTATTTTTATTTAAACTGACATGACTTATACCCATTATGACCCCTCCCCCCCCCCACACACACAGATCCATTTGTGTGTGTAGACTTTAGTTTGTAGATATGTTTTACCCAAAACTTCATTAGTTGACAGTTTTGCCTTCACCTGGTTCAAATTACGTAAAGGAAATCTGTTATTGCATTTTAGTTTTAAAAAGAGGAGTCAAGTCATTTGCCTATTTGAATGTTTTTCTAATATTGTGTTAAAAAAAAAAGCTTAAGACGTCAAAATCTGCAGAATGTGCTATTTTTTTTTTTTTTTTTTAAAAAAAACAAATGGAAAAAAAAGACACTCTTTTGGTTTAAAAAA